TGTGTGGGTGGGTGGTGGGGAGAGAGGGAAGAGGGGTGTGTGCATTTGTAGACCGAGTTCCACATTTTCCCCCCCCACACACACTCCCACACCCCCCACACCTACCCACCCTCCACAGACACCCCCGCACTCCGCACACCTCATATACCCCCCCCCATAATATACAAGAGTAAGACTTTATTTTAAGCTATTATATACAATCATGTCTATGTGCACTACACAAACGTATGTAAATCAGGACAGAAATATTTTTTGAAATCAAATGATGTTTTAGATGTTCACTTATTTTAAAATATAATTTGCTATTTTTCTGATTCTGAGATGGCCAAACCCCTTCCTGAAAGGAGTACTTCCGTGGCCAAGGGGATGGACTTTTGTTGGCAAAGGCCAGGGGTTAGAGGGTGGGAATTCCAGTCACAAGATGGTGACCAGGGGACAGGGCACTTGTCAAGGTGGGGGGGGCTACACATGCAGCCCTTGACAGCTTGCCAAAACTTGGTAAGTGGCCCTCCAGCCGAAATAATTGCCTGTCCCTGGTTTATGTTAAGCAGTAGCTCAGACTTGGATAGATTCATAGAAGTTAGGGTCAGAAGGGACCTCAATAGATCATCGAGTCTGACCCCCTGCATAGGCAGGGAAGAGTGCTGGGTCTAGATGACCCCAGCTAGATGCATATCCAGATAATCCTAGTGGTATATTTTAAGTTTATAATTCAAGAGACTTTCTATGGTTTGGCCCATTTTTTCCCCTGCTCCAGACATCAATAGAATATTTTTGATCCAGCAGAGAGAACCAAATGAAATTTTTTTGTTCCAAGGCAGACAAATACCAAGATCTAAGTTTGCATGCCTGACTTCTGTGATATGGGGGAAAGGATTATTTCTTCACCTATTTCCTTCATAAACTATTCCTTAATCTATTGATAATTGGTTGCAGTTTTTCATTTCTTCAGCCTGGGTCAGCAAAGCTTTCAAATCTGTTATCTCTTCCTCTCCCTTTCTTAAAAGGAGAACAAGAAGTTATTTTTTCCCATCTAGTGTTTTTAGTATTGCATCTTGGTCTCATAGTACATGCTGGTTGAACCACTTAATTTCTCTCTGAAGGGGTTTTGTGCTATAATTGAGAGAACCTTTCTGAACGAAAGTACCTCCTTTAAATTGGAAACATATTTGCAGATAATTTAGCCAAGTTAAACTGAAGTTTTGTTTCATTTCTCAATTTTTTTCCCCCCCCAAGTAGCGATTAATTGATATTTCAAATTTATAAGCTGCTTCTGCCTCTCTAGATTTTTAGAACGTCTTTTAAAAATTATTTGCTTTTTATGACTGTTATGGCATGCCTGGACTAAAGTTTGTAGTCCTAATTTTAATTCAGGAAGGACTAAGTATAGGTTAATTTAAGTTTTGTCCTGTACCAAAGGCACTTGCAGAATGTCCGGATCGCTTTTGCAAGGGTGTATTTCTTAGCTAATTGCCAGTTAACTTAAGCTACAAGATGTTCTCCAAAATGGTTGAAGGCTTTAAAAAATATGCATGAAGGATGTGCAGATATTTATAGCTTACACAGACTTACTAAACAATATTATCCGGGTGGATTACAGAAAATGGGGAATGCCATCAAATAACCATTTTCTTTCACTTGTTGGAATTTATGATCAAGACAACTATTTTTTTTGAAGAAGAAAATGCCACAGCTGCCCTACAAAACTACCCTTCTCAGAATGCTCTGCACTCCGTGACATGCATTGCCTGCAGCCTCAATGTGTCGTAGAGGCAGGCACCCTGAAGCAGAAGAAAGCTGTTCCTTTGGGATGAGCCGCCGCGCTGCCACCCCCCCCAACCTGAGGGTTGCAAGAATATATGAAAGGGTCACAAACAAACTTAAAAATGGATCAACAAACTTTAAAAATGGATTATTCTTTAAAGGAGAAAAACATAGGAAACCATGACTTTTCTCTTGCAGGCTGTTAGAGTTTCAGCCTGCAAGGAACTGTTTGAGGTCCCCCATGCCCCACATATACCTCAACCTGCCCTATACACCCACCCCCTGTCCCCCACACTGGGGGCTAAAGGTGGGGGGCAGTGGGTCGGGAGTGAGGGGCACGGTCAGGACTGGCCACTGATGTTTACAAATCGGTCTTGGTACAAAAAGGTTGAGAACCACTGCTTTAGATGGCACTCAGGGCATGTTCCCCACTTGCCCACCCCGTGTTACACTACTGTTTACAGGCGGTGAGCAATAGAGTTTGAATGCAGGAAATATGTGGCCTCTTACAGTATTATATTCTAGGATGCTCAGATCCATGTAATCCATTGAATGAGCCATTGCATAGGAGTCCTACATTATGGTTCTGTGGGGGAATACTTTTGGAGATGTCAGTTTATTAGACATTGGCCTCCTCTGTCAGAGAGATTCATTTGGTCATTGCATGATCTATTTTGGTGGCCCAAACTCAGCAGGTTAAAAAGAATAAATATGTCTTAAAAATCCTAACAAAAGTAGAGAGCTTTGTTGTTTTACAGCAGCCTTAGGCTTTTTTCTTATGTCTTCTCCATACTTTACTGGCTCCCCTCGCAGGCCCCTCCCTTTCTATTTGGATTCTAGAAGTTACTCATTTCTTCACTTGAAATGAATTCAGATTACATATTGTGAAGACTGTTTCAGTTAACAAAAGGTATGATACTGATAAACTGATGTAACATAAATCTGATAGTTAAAACAGTAGATTTGTACATGTTGATTGCATCATTATGTTGTCTTTCCTTGTACTTGTCACACTTTTTCATGTTACAGCTGATAGCCTAATGATCACCCCATATTAACAAACTCACTGTTGAAAAGACCAAGTCCAAGTTTGGTATTCTGTAACTTTTTACATAGTAACATATAGTACCTTGCAGGTACGATACCATGGGACTTGCATGTGAAATGCCTGCTCAGTTAAACTGCATGCAACATGGATACTTCTGGATAGGATGACTGAGTTTTCTTAGTTTTGGTATTTAATTGGCTTTTGGATATTTTAGAATAGGAATGTAATTGGCTATGGACAGTTACTAAACATCAACCCTCCCCACCTAAAACAAACAGTGCCCCCTCAATTGTATTTTTCTCTACATATGAAGGCTGCCAAGGTGGTAGCTCTGGAAATTGGAACCCTCTGACAATGGAACACGTGTGGGGACAGCAGTATGGATTTTCTTGCACTGAGCCATGTTTTGGCGGAACTATTTCTAGAAGTCTGAAGGAAGATCACGTTTCTTAATTTTGAAATTTAAAAATCTATATTCCTAGATCTAATCTAGATTCCTAGATTTAATCTATTGAATAAGGAAATGGTGTAAAAAAGCATAAGAGGACATGAAGCTTTTTGGTAACAAGACATGAATTCTGGAATTTTGCTGCCTCAGATTTGTTTCAGTTTAAGACCTGAACTGGAAGGAAAAGTTGTTGTAAGATTCCACCTTTACAGGAATCTGCTGACAGCTAGCAGTTCCTTCTGTTTCCAAACTTTCTAAGAACCTGTTGAGCTGCCACAGATTGGATAAATCTTTCAAAGATGTGAGGAATTACAAAAATAGCACAATTGGCATGGGAACAGTCAGGATTTTCCTTTGTACTTTTTATAGATACAATCCCAAGCAGTTTGCAAAGTGGAAAAAATCAGCCAAATGTTCTTATTTCTGTTCCTGGGAAGCTGAGTTGTCAGTGAAGATTTTTTGACACATTGTCAAAATCCAGTTGATTTGCAATCCATGTATAACCTGCAGTTTTACAGATAAAATCCATATAGCTTATGCCTCTACTAATTGAAAGTCAGAAGTTGAACAAGTCATAGGGATGGCTTGTTTTTGACCCTAGGACTCGCTACAAGCATAGATTTGATTTCATAAAACTTTATTTTGTGGCAAAACTGTTTCTCCACAGGCAGAGATGGAAAGGCTAAGTGTATATAGCAGTGGCCAGAAAACTGACTTGCTGAACCACTGTTCCTTGATCCTCTGTCTGCTCCTCTGTTTAATTCCTAACTAAAGTGGTGGTTTCATAGTTTCGTAGTTGGTAGGGTCGGAAGGGACCTGAGCAGATCATCAAGTCCAACCCCTTGCCATGGCAGGAAAAAGTACTGGGGTCAAACTGGTTGAGGGACTGCTTCTGCTAAATGGTATTTCTCAAGTGACTTCCTTTTTCTTGGCAACATCATTATTCATCATAAGACTTCTTAAATTGAATAATTAGTGTTGTAAGATTATGCTGCAGATTGCAATTCCACCTTCCCTCCTGCCCTAACCCCAGCAACAAGACTGCCATACCAGATGGAAGATGAGAGCAGCCAACAGGATGGTCAAAATGTGTACTTTTATCAAAACTTCTAATTCCAAATAAGATAACATTTAGTAATGGTAAGAAGTGACTATTAGCTTATCAGGATGCTGTGTGGAAAAGCATGACCTGTTACTCAGGGGAGAGGGGGAACAAAACATATTTTCAGTGATACATTTTTTAGGGTTTGAAACCAGTGTGCATTTTATTTATAATGTATATATTTGTTTCCTTTGTCTCATTCAGAAATTCAAGAATGTAGTAAAGAAATGACTTAATTAAAATATTTATTTAAAAATGAAGTAGTATTTTTATAAAAATGATAAAACACAAGGAAAGTTGGTGTATGGTTCAGGGTCATGATGAAAATTATTTGTAACAAGACTTTAGTAAATTGAGGTATGTGTTCATGAAATAACCAGTTAATACAAGTATGCAAATTAATAAAGGAGGGAAAAATGTTCCTATCCCAGAGGGAGAAAATAAATTGCCCCACAATTACAATTAAAGAGGTGAATGGTTATAGATAGCTTTTGCTAAAGCCAGGTGGCAAAGCAGTGAAATGGGCTTTGTGGTATATGGGTAATTTGAACCAGAAATGTTTTAAGAAAATCCAATATGTAATTATACCTTTCTTTAAAAAATGAAAACTAATGTGTGGTTTATAATCCTCTTTATAGAGGAAGGACTGCATGGAATTGTAAGCTGTACAGCTTGTGGGCAACAGGTGAACCATTTTCAAAAGGATTCAATCTATAGACACCCTACACTGAAAGTTCTTATTTGTAAGGTATGTGATGAGCCAGGCTTATTTTCCTACTTCATGTCTCTTTCTTGTTTTTGTTTTGTTGGTTTTTTTTCTTCAATAAAAATGTGTCATTGTGTTTAATCTTGGTGTGGATAGTTTTCATTTATCACAGTTATGATGATATACAAACAAGGAAACTGATAGAGAAATGAAAAGAAAATAACATGAAAATACACTGCATTCAGTTTATTGTGGCTTCTTTTGAATTTATTTTTAGAATTTATTCTTACAAAATTACTGTTCCTTGCTGTTTATGGTTCTTCATGTTCATACTGTGGTACCGTATTGCAAGTTCAGATGGAGTTTTGTATCTTAAAAGTTTCTATACAAAAGGCTCAGCACCAGAGAAGGGATGGAAAGTTGGCTTTAAAGCCTTATTTTTGGTCACTTGGATGTGATTGCTGAAATGCTTTCACTGGTAAAAGTCAGAACTATCCTGTGAGCTGTTATAAGGTACAGAATCTTTTCCAGTGGCTGCTTGGGGGCAGTATTTCAGCCCAGAACTCTCACAGCATTGAGCGGGATAGGACACCACCTGCACCATCCATTCCAGCACACCTGTACATCAAGTCTTTGAAAGAGACTGTGTAAGGTGGATCTTGTTGGAAAATTTTTCCAACAGACTACCTGAAGGTGACCACTTTAAGTTTTCAGAATGGTCTTCAGGATCTCTAGGCCACAAATGTTGCCTTGGTATTTTAGTTGGTCTAATAACATGCTAAAAGATTGAATGCTTCATTAGATCATATAGTCCAGTATTGTGGCATAGACAGTGGCCTGTTTTTGTTAACCTCTTACCTTCAGTTATACTTTGTAACATTTACTTTCCTTGACTATTGTATCCTATTTTGTTTACTTTTTATCAGTTTAAGTTTCCCTTTTTTCATGTGGGAAAGGGGGAACAGTCATTTCTGTTCAACATTATTTTATAGGCCCACATTATTTCCATTTTTTTATCCCCTAAGTGAAACAGGCCTAGACTTTTTTATTTTATTTTATTTTTTCATGGTAAGTTTACTTACTATTCTTGTTGAGCATCTTTCAGTCATTTGTGTTCTTGCTATACCTTATTTGAGATTGGCTGACCAGGTAGTATATGCTTTATTTTGAATGAGAGTACATAATTATTTTACAACGCGCATGCATGCACATATACACATACGCGCGCGCACACTGCTGATGCCCTTCAGAATTCTAGAGTGAGTGGGCAGAAGAATACAGCAGGGTATCGTCTACAGTTTTTATTTAAGCTGTGTTCAGGCAAAACTTTGATTTGACACTTGGTGCTTTGGTTGAGTTAGGACTGGATAAGGACATCAGACTTTGCCCTTATAAATTCATGGACTTCAGTCATTAGTAGCATTTGAGTGGTACAGTCTTATTTGTTACTCCTCGTTTTCCTCTGGCCAGAGATGACCCGAGCAGGGTGTGGGGCCCAGGGTAAATCAGCCTGCATGGGGCCCTGCCCCCACCCTGATTCCAAGCCCCCTGAATGCGAAGGGGTGGGGGCTGAGGGTAGCAAGCGGCCAGATGCAAAGCCAGTGGTGGCAGCACAGAGCCGCCATGGCCACTCCATCTGGCTTCGTGGGGCCGCCCAAATTGTGGGGCCTGGGGCAGTCGCCCTGATTCTCACCCCCTAGGGACGGCCCTGCCTCTGGCAAAGTGTAGTTGCTACACATGACCAAGTAAGTGATCCATGTATTACAGTTTTTAGAGTTCATTTACCGGTAAGTTACTTTTAAGCAGCCTTTGGTGCACACAAAGTTTAGAGAGAGACTTTAATTGCTAACATAAAGAAGAACATTAAGTTGAAAGGAGAATCTCAGTAGGAATTTGTGTCAGTGAAAGTGTGTGGGTGGGGGTTTTTTTGGTTTATTTGCTTCTTACTTTGGTATTGTTTTTTTTTTTTTTTTTTTTTTTTTTTTTTTTTTTTTTTTTTTTTTCTTCTGTAACTTGGAAAGAATTTTTCTGGATAATGAAGAACAAGTATATTTGTATGTTTTGGAAGGTCTGTGGCCCTCCAAAGAAGGTACACATACTTAGTTTTCAAATGCATGTTCTGCCATTTATATCCAAAAAGTCACAATCTAGATGTTGCTGTACCTTTTGGAGATGATGAAGATTGCAGTTTTGTAAAGTTAGCCAGAACTTGAAGAAAGAACACCTTGCACAGATTTCTTGTGTTCCTTTTTATGTGTCTGATTTTAATACACCAGAGTAAATATATAGCGTTGTTAAATTCCATCTGTCAATTTTAATGGAAATTTCCTTGTTCTATTTCCTTAAAGACTTGCTACAAATATTATATGAGTGATGATATTAGTCGTGATTCAGATGGAATGGATGAACAATGTAGGTAAGTACATTAACACCATGAACATAACGTAAACCATTAACATTACATAAACATTCACGTGTTTAAGCAATAATGAATAATTTATGAGTAGTTGTGAAAAGTTAAAGACCAGCATTAGAGTGTTTAATCCTTCACTTATAACCAAGAAATGCCTAACCCAAGACTGTCCAACTGGTGGCTCACGAGCCACATCTGGTTCTACCCAGCCACCACTCACCCCATTACTCTGTGGCAGGGCAGACCAGCATGATACAGCCTGCAGTGCTGGGGGAACCCATAGGGTTTGGCACAGTGCAGCCGAAGAGCCCGTTTCCAGGGAGCTAAAGGTGGGGCTGCGACATGCACACCTGTGCACATGATGCAGCGGGGGAAGAAGTGGAAGGAGAGGGTTAACATACCTGGTGCAGCAGAATGGAGGGAGCACCCATGTTCCTAGTCCAGGGCAAGGGTGGAGGGAAGGGAATGTGCCCTGTACAGTGTGGAGTGTCTGCCTGGTATAGGGAGGACTGGGGAGCACGCAGGGCTTGCACTGGTGTGGACCCTGCTGGTGTGATCTATGAAGCGTGCAGCTCATAGTTGCAAAGGAGTTGGATAACCCATGATTACCATCCATATCTTGTTTTTAACACTAACTTAGCAAACAAAATGCAAGGAAATGCATCATTTCAGATGATGAACTAAAGGTGAATGTCATGTGACTAAAATGTCTGTCAGTTTGAAGATATTCAGTTAAGTTTTTCCCACTAGCTTTAAATCTATTCTCTCATTTCCTGTCCTGAAAGTAGTTTTCATTATGGTACATAGGGGCTCACTATCCCTGAGAGAAGTTCTTGGTTTCTGTGGCTGGAAGCCTACAGTGCTCGTTCCACCTTTGATTCATCCACAATGCTGCTTTTTTTTTCCCCCCACTGCTTGACTCTAGGCTGGCTGAACTTCCTGGGTTTCATTCACTTTTTTCAGTCTTTACCATAGACATCATACACTAGATGCACTTAAAAGCCACCCCCCACAAAAACCTGTTTTCAGCATGCATTTAAATGTATACAGTACACGTACCGTATCAGGTACTGTAGCCCTGTATCTGATATAGGTCAGAAAGGCCTATCCTTTTGTTCTCAGGAACAACAGGATGGCTTGAATATTTTTCACATGACAAATTTTGTTTCCTACTTATATGGAGATTAGGTCAGAGTATTTAGAGTATAGCTGAGATGGATGTTAAAAGCTCTATTTAAATATTCCTGGCTTTTCTCATTTTCTGAGCATTTTAAACTGCAACATTTTAATCTACTGCCTTTCAGGTTTTAATTCTGGCGCTTCAGTATTTTAAAAAAAAACGTCTAGATATCTGCTTGCCATATTAAATTTCTAAACAAAACTTCTTGATTTTTATTAGTGTCCATTTTTTAATATTGAAACAGTGGGAGACTATACTTATGTATAACAATCTATAAAATTTGTTTTTAGGTAGCATTTTAATATTTTCCTAATCTTATTTCAGATGGTGTGCTGAAGGTGGGAACTTAATTTGCTGTGACTTTTGCCATAATGCCTTCTGCAAAAAGTGCATTCTGCGCAACCTTGGTCGAAAAGAGCTGTCAACTATAATGGATGAAAATAATCAATGGCACTGCTACATTTGCCAGCCAGAACCTTTGTTGGACTTGGTCACTGCATGTGACAGTGTCTTTGAAAATTTAGAACAGTTATTACAACAAAACAAAAAAAAGATAAAAGTTGAGAGTGAAAAAAGTAAAATATATGACCATGCAATCAAATTTTCTCCAAAGAGAAATAGTTCAAATTGTAATGGAGAAGAAAAAAAAATAGATGATTCATATTCTGGTTCGTTAACCTATTCCTACAAAGCACTTATGGTGCCGAAGGACTTGCTTAAAAAGGCTAAAAAACTGGTTGAGACTACAACAAATATGAATGCTAGTTTTGTAAATTTTTTGAAAAAGGCAACAGAAAATTCAGAAATAAATCCCACTGTACAGGTTCGCCAACTAAAAGCTTTTAAATCTGTGTTGAGTGACATCAAAAAAGCTCATCAGGTATTAGAAGAAGGTCTGAATTTGGAGATTCAAGCTTTGGATGCTAAAATCAAAGAAAAAAATACCAAAGAGAAAAAAAATGAAACTAGACCAGAAAAAATGGAAATGAAAAAAAAGGAAGTAAAGGAACATGCAGACTTAAAAGAGAAGGACATTGTAAAGCCTGAGGAAAAAATTGAGTCAGCACAGTCTGACAATGAGCCCATGGATCAAAGTGTTCCAGCAACAGAACAAACAGAAAACAAGAATGCTAGCAGCGAAGATAAAAGGTCTGATACAAATGCAGAACCTCAATATGAGCCTAATAGTACGGAGGCTTTAGACATGGATATTGTGTCTGTTCCTACTTCAGTCCCTGAAGATATTTTTGAGACTCTAGAATCTGCTATGGAAATTCAAACTGCATCTGAAGAACAGGGCAGTAGAAGTGCAGCAGCAGAGCAGGAGACACTAAATGCAAATATAAAATCTAATACTCCTCTGAAAGACACTAAAGGAGGTCCAAAGTTAAAAGCATCAGCTAAAGTAACAAAAGAATTGTTTGTAAAATTGACTCCTGTTTCCCTTTCTGATTCCCCAGTAAAAACTGAAGATCAAGAGGGTAGTCTGGAAAAGGAAGCTAAGAATGTTGATGCAATATCTAAAGCAGAAAACTGTGATTCTGGAAAAGAAAACCATGATGCTGGCAATGAATGCTTGCCACAAAATGATGCTGTTTTATTGATAGAAGAATCTGATCTCAGGAGGTCCCCACGTGTAAAGACCACTCCTCTGAGGCGTCAAACAGATGTTAATCCCTTAACGTCTAATTCAGAAGAGGACAGCAATGATACTGGCAATGAAAAGCGTAAGCAAAAGTCATCATCCCAATCAAAGAGAAAGCAAGATAAAAGAAATTCTTCTGACAAGACTATCGATAGCCCTAAACCTAGTAAACTTTCTAAATCCAAAAAATCAAATGTGCTGGACCAAAGTTCAGATTCTGATGAGATGCCAGCAGTCCTTAAAAAAGTAGCCATGTTAAGTCGGAGTTCTTCAGAGATTGATAGCAATACTGAAACACCCCAAAATTTTCAGAAGATTACAAATGATCTTAAGAAACAATCAAAGAAAGATGAAAGTGGAAAACGAAAAAGAAGAAGTTCCAGTTCTGGTTCAGATTTAGATTCCAAAAGAGGCAAATCAACTAAAGACTCTACTTCTGCAAAAAAGAAACGACAGAACTATTCAGATTCTTCAAATTATGATTCTGAGTTAGAAAGAGAAATAAAAAGTTTGAGTAAAATTGAATCTGCAAAAAAAGCCAAGAAGAAATACTCCAGGAAAGAAGACAGTTATGATTCCTCTGAAGAAGAGCAGAGTAAGAAAGGAACTTCTAGTAAGAAAAAGAAGAAAATAAATGTGAAGAAACAGCAAGATGAATCTTCTAATGATGAATCTGAGAATTCATCCCCAGAGAAAGAGGAGGCTAGTAATTTTTCTGAAGATAAAAAAAGTAAGGGGACAGCCATTAAGGAAAAGAAAAATAGAGATTTAAAACAGGGAACTTCAACAGAGAAGCAGGATGATTCCTCTGAAGAAGAACAGAGTAAGAAAGGAACTTCTAGTAAGAAAAAGAAGAAAATAAGTGTGAAGAAACAGCGAGATGAATCTTCTAATGATGAATCTGAGAATTCATCCCCAGAGAAAGAAGAGGCTAGTAGTTTTTCTGAAGATAAAAAAAGTAAGGGGACAGCCATTAAGGAAAAGAAAAATAGAGATTTAAAACAGGGAACTTCAACAGAGAAGCAGGATGATTCCTCTGAAGAAGAACAGAGTAAGAAAGGAACTTCCAGTAAGAAAAAGAAGAAAATAAATGTGAAGAAACAGCGAGATGAATCTTCTAATGATGAATCTGAGAATTCATCCCCAGAGAAAGAGGAGGCTAGTAATTTTTCTGAAGATAAAAAAAGTAAGGGGACAGCCATTAAGGAAAAGAAAAATAGAGATTTAAAACAGGGAACTTCAACAGAGAAGCAGGATGATTCCTCTGAAGAGGAGCAGAGTAAGAAAGGAACTTCTAGTAAGAAAAAGAAGAAAATAAGTGTGAAGAAACAGCGAGATGAATCTTCTAATGATGAATCTGAGAATTCATCCCCAGAGAAAGAGGACACTAATAACTTTTCTGAAGATAAAAAAAGTAAGAGAACAGCCATTAAGGAAAAGAAAAATAGAGATTTAAACCAGGGAACTTCAACAGAGAAGCAGGATGAGTTGTTGGATCTTGAGAAGTCAAACCTGGAGAAAACAAAAAGCTGCCCTTCTGAAGGTAAAAATAGAACACAAGCTAAAGAAAAGAAAAACAGAGAGCTGAAGAAGAAAAAGGCGCAAGATGATTCTTCATCAGATGGTGCTGAGAAGGCTGTAAAAAAAGAGCAGAATTGTGATTCTTCAGAGGACAAATTCAAGAATGAAAAAGCAACAGAAAGTGAAGAGAAGAAAAGTGAAAACTTAAAGAAGAAAAGACACAAAAAAGAACAAAATGACTCTTCTTCTGATGCTGAGAAGTCATCTCCAGAGAAAGATGGCTACAATTCCTCTGAAAACAATAAAAGTAAAAATGAAAAGGTGGTTAAGAAAAGAAGAAATCTACGAGAGAGAATAACTAAGAGAGCGCAGATTGATTCATCTTCAGATGCTGAGCAGTCCCGGAAGAAAAGAGAGAGTTCTTCTGATGATGATAAACGAAATAAACGTGTAGAAGCTAAAGAAAAGAAAAAGATAAGCCACAAAAAGAAAGCATCTAAGAAAGAGCATAATGACTCTTTGTCCTCTTCTGATGAAGAATCTTATGAAGATGATAAAAAAAAAAGTAAAAGAGGATCCACTAAGGAAAGCAAAAAGGGTAACTTAAAAGAAAAAAAGAGAATTTCTAAAAAGCAGAAGGATCTTACATCGTCTTCATCAGATGAGGAAGAGAGTGATGACCAGAAGTCAACAGGGGATGGGAGCAGTGATGAGCAGAAGATTGTGCCAGTGACAGAAGATTTAATGATGTCCTTCAACACAGGATTTTGTCAGTCCTCAGGTGTGCAAATGATTTAAGTCTTACCTTTTGATTATCGTGTTGATAGAGGAAAATAGCACGATTGGGATCAGGGCTGCCCCTCTGGATGGTGGGGGATCACAGATCAGATGTCCAGGCCACACACCACGTGGGCTGCACACCACACAGGTGGCCCTCCTGGGGTTCCCTCTTGCTGCACAGCAGCTCTCTCCCTACCATGTGCAGCCCAGGAAGCCCGGTTGCATACAGAGTGCAGGCAGCACAGACCCATTCTTGACTGCCCTGCCGCCAGGAGCAGGGCAGGAACCAGATGTTGCAAGAGAGTGGGACCACAGAGCCCATGGCCACCATAGAAGCAGAAGCAATGGGAAGAGCAGTAGTCAAGAGAGAGCCTGTGGGCTATTAAACAGCCCTTATTTGGATGATTTATATTGATTTAATCGGTGCAAATGCTTTTAAGTGAAGGTATCCAGAAGCATATGTAACTACCTGTTCTAAAACTTGAGGCATAATTTAAACCCTACTTTTTTCTAATATCAAATGTTCATAAATTCTGTAATGTCACTTGTTATCGTTTGGCTAGTGTTGGCCTAGACAGTCACTTTAGCTTAATTTACAACTGTGGTATTTCCAGAAAGGCCCTCAAAGCTGGAGCCACAGCATGTAACACCAAATGTGTTCTTGCTTTTCTTATCCTTGTTGTCATTTGTTTTTTTTGTCTAAGTAGTGAATATTTAGTAGAAATCAGGACCCCTATTAGATCCCTTGCTGCTAGTCATGTAATGGAGCTGAATATCAAGCCCTGTAGCTTGGGTTACAGTAAGGTTCTTTGGGTAAATCCGATATCTTTTATTAGACCAACTCAGACAGTCAGAAAAAATCTTCTTAGCAAGCTTTTGGGCACAAATGCACTTCGTCAGGCTGAGGAAGCGTTTGCAGATAGCCTGTGCTCTTCCTGGGTGAAGTGGTAAAGCATCCAGAGGCCAGTATCAATGCAAGAAACCTAGTCAGTTAAAATGTAAATTGAGATGGTCAGTAGGTGAGAGACAGGTTGCGGGGAAGGGGGAATGAAAGTAGCAGTAGTTAAAGGATGAGACAGGAGGGTGGGAGGGAAGGGGGGTCAGATGTTAGGCAGGTTATAGTGTCATAAATCCAATGTCTATATTTAGTCCATGATTTTTTTTTTAATCTAGTAGATTGATGAAGTTAAGTTCATGGGCTCATCTGTGGAAGGTATTTTATAAATTCCCTTTGGGAACTAGAACTGAGAGTGGAAATGTTGTCCCAGGTACCTGTGGGGCCACATTTCTCACAAGAAAACCACTATTTCTCCAACCTCTCAGTTTTAATCCTCAAAAGGAATTTACAAAATATCTCCCATAGACGAGCCCATGAGCTTGACTTACTTTGTATCCAGTAGTTTGGTTATCATGGACTAAATATAGACATTGGATTTATGACACATTATAACCTGCCTATTTTCTTTGGCTTTCCACAGCACTTTGTGTAGTTGGTTTCACTGCTTATGTTGATGTGACCCTTTGCCACGATTTGTGAAGTTGTAACTGAAACAAAGTTGTAGGAGATGGGACTATGTGTACGTGTGTGAGAATGTATGGGTATGTATACTTTGGAAACTCATGAGTGAGAAACATTTTTGCTTTTAGGCCTTTCTAAAAGACTCTTAAAAATATCAAAATAGGAGAAAAGGCCTTACATTTTTAAAAATGTAAAATAAAATTAAAGCAAAGTTACTTTGTCAATTTAAAAAACCTTTAATGCAGAGAACTTAACTTACAGCTGATGATGTTTCTTCTTGCATGTTGATTCAAGAGTTTCCAAGCTCTTTTCCAAGTTCTTCTTCAGACTCTTTGACCTTGGGGCAAGAGGGTGGGGTGGGGCATTGTGTCTGTTTCTCTATATGTAAAATGGAGATAATATTTAATTGTTTCACAAGGATATTGCAGCACTTCCTTCAGGAATGTTTGTTAGTTGCTTTTTAGCTTCTTGGATAGAAATTATTGTGGGAGAACAAGTTGATAGTTTTATGTTGAGCCACCATTTTCGGAGTAACTAGGTACATCTTATTCATGTATTACTTTTCAGATTAGTACATAAGTTTCAAACTCTGAAAATGTAAGAATTGAATCTCTTGTGCAAATAGAATGGGAAAAGAACTTGCCTATTTGCCTAACTAGAAGTGGCATAGTGGATGTTGATACATTCTCAAGGTTTAGCCATTTCTTTCTTTTTTTTAATCATCCTTTTGCTTGGGAGAAAGTAATCTGCTCTATAATGAAGCATCTTATAATTGGTCTGCTATGAATGAATGGGTTAAATTCATCATTCTTATAACATTCTTTTGAAGATGCCCTCTTATAAAAAGAGCTAACTTAGAGAGTTCAGAAAACAGTAAATTGTGATGTGTTCTATTTCTATAATCAGTCTGAACTTTCAGCACTAATGCTGTTATATCAGCACCAAACATCCAATAAGCACAAGCTTAAACACAAACTTTTCTATGCATGTGTTTTTGTGTTCCACCTAAAGATAAGCTTGAAGAAGATTCAGTACGGCATAGTAGCTACTCAGCATCAAACTATTATCCAGATTAAGCAGATCATAAAGTAATGAATATTTCTCCTTTTTTTAGTGTTGGTATGCATTCTGCTATAGGTGTGTATATATCCCAGATATACAAGATTGAAATCTTTCGTCTAACAGACTCTGTTGGGTTTATGCATTGGCCCAGTGTCTTCTCCTGTGTTCTAGTACAAGCATAGGAAGTGGAGTCATTCAGTTTCATCTTGCTATCTGTTGGACAGAACAGAGGCTTCTCTCCTGCTTACTAATTCTTGTACCCAACACTTTTACAGTCATCTGTCTGTTTTGTAGGGAATCCTCTTAGCAGCCAGTGTTCAAAGAATATGGAGTAGTGCTTTCAAAACATAGCAATGTTCCCCAAACTTAGTGTTCAAATTATGTTTGGCATAGAGTGATCTGATCCCACTTTAATCATGCAGGGACTGTAAAAAATTAGCAGGCATTGTGTTCTTTCTGTGGGGTGATCTTAAGTATTTGACTGAAGAGCATACACAAGTAGTTTCTGTTCAGTTCAAAGGCAAGGTCAGTGTGTGTGTATTTTATAAGCTGTTGTGGGTCCCCAAAGTGGAGCTGCAGGACGAGGCAGGACAGGGAGAGAGCCCCGGATCCCAGGAGAAGCTGTTGTGGATCCCCAAAGAGGACACACAGGAGGAGGTAGGACTGGGTGAGAGCCCCAGGCCCCAATGGAATCTGTTGTGGATCCCCAAAAAGGAGCTGCAGGAGGAGGCAGGACAGGGGGAGAGCACTGACCCACAGGGAAGCTGTCATGGATCCCCAAAAAGGAGCTGCAGGAGGAGGCAGGACAGGGTGAGAGCACTGACCCCCAGGGAAGCTGTCATGGATCCCCAAAAAGGAGCTGCAGGAGGAGGCAGGCTTAGTTACCTGTACACAAATGCCAGAAGCATGGGGAACAAGCAGGAAGAACTGACCCTCCTGCTAACCAACAAGCAATATGATCTTATAGGGATTACAGAGATCTGGTGGGACTCCACCTGTGATTGGACCACAGGTATAGATGGCTACACCCTGTATAGGAGGAATCATGTTGGGAAGAAGGGTGGAGGAGTTGCGCTCTATATGATGGAATGTTACATCTCTCTGGAAGTGGAGATTAGCAACAAAGAGTGACTTGAGACCCTCTGTGTCAAGATACAGGGAGAGTAGGGGGAAGGGGATTTGACTGTAGAGGTTTACTATAGATCTCCAAACCAAGAGGAAGAGCTTGGTCAGGAATTCTCTAGAAAGTGGTAGAGGCTGCACACTCTTGGAGCATGGTTGTCTGGATAGTTGAAGTCACCCACAACATCTCAAGGGATGAGCACACAGCAAAATCTAATTGCTCACTTGCATGGAAGAGCTTCCTTGCTTGCATGGAAGAGCTCTCTATCTGACTCGAGTCTATGGGCTGACCAGGAGTAAGGCAGTTTTAGACTTGTTTCTGGCCAAAGGGGGTGATGCCATGAGCAATCTGAGGACTGAAGGGAAATTGGGCGACAGTGACCATGAGATGATCACTTTCTCCATCCACTGTAAATCTGGGAAATCAACCGCTAGGGTAGACTTCCACAAGTGTAGTAGATTGGTTGGCAAGGCCCTGCAGCATCATGGTCCAATGAGGAAGGGAGTACAAAAAGAGTGGCTTAAAAGGGAAGTCATGGACCTGCTGAATTTTTAAAAGAGAAGCTTACAAGGGATGGAAGTCAGAAATAACCACGAAAGAGGAGTTCTCAGCTATAGCCCGCACCTGTAGGGAGCGGATTAGGAAAGCAAAGGTACAAACCAAATACAAATTGGCAACCAGAATCAAGGACAACACGAAGTCCTTCTTTAGATATGTAGGACTTTGGAGAAAAAATAAGGGAAGCATAGGGTCCCTAGTGAACGAAATAGGGCAGCTGATAACCTGGTCCGATGGGCTGAACAAAACCAGATGAGGTTCAACAGGGACAAATGTCGGGTCCTTCATCTGGGTAGGAAGAACCCTCACCATATCTATACGGTGGGTGGTTGTCCGATGGCTGGATGAATACGAGATGCCAGTGCGACGAAGTCGTCAACAGAGCAAATAGAACTCTGGCGTGCATCAGCAGATGTCACCATCAGGTCCAGAGAGGTGCTCTGCCCCCTCTATTTGGCGTTGGTGAGGCCACAGCTGGAGTACTGCATCCAGTTTTGGGCACCCCACTTCAAGAAGAATGTGGACAAGCTTGGAATGGTGCAGAGAAGGGCCATTTGCATGATCAAGGGCCTGGCAGACGGGCCCTATGAGGAGAGACTTTGGGATCTGGAACTGTTCAGCCTGAGCAAAAGAAGGCTGAGAGGTGACTTGATAGCTGCCCACAAATATGTCAAGGGAGAACACGGCAGGACCTAGGTGAACAACTTTTCAGAAAAGCCCCCCCTACCCCACAGGGGAG